AATGCATGCCCCTTAGGTTATGGTGTTTTGCAATATCTTCATCCGGCCTTTGCATTGTGTTATTGAAAAAGTGCAAAGCAAGAGTAGCCAAAGTGGGGCTAGGTTTTTCTTCAGGAAATTTTGATAAATCAAACAAACATTCAAGAACAAAGTAGGGAAGTTGATTCTCAAGAAGAAGAAAATCCCGATAAAAAAATGGTAAAATCCATGTCACGGTGATGAGGGGATCATCAAGATCAGATTTTACAACTCCTAAAACTTTTCGAAACAATTCGATAATAAAAAGGCCGTCAAGAACCATTAACTCAACAAATTCATCAGAGTTAAGATGAATAGTTTCTGAATAACATTCTCTTGCTTTCATCTCTAGAGATTGAACAGCCTTGAGAAAATCTTCCAAACCTAGACCATTATTTTTAATTCTGTTGAGAAAGGAGCCTACATATTTCCATTTATGCTCTTCAATCATTCTAAGGTGAGGCTCTCCTTGGTGGTATGGACCTATTGAGACAATATGAGGTTGATAGGACTTACCGTTGATATCAATGAAGCTCTTCGGAACTCTAAAAATACAGCATGATATTTTACCCGCTGTGGTGCTTAGTAAGGTTGGCGCCTGCGAAATTTTCTTGTGCATAGAGGCTAAACGGTCCTTGTTTACTTCTCGAATATTTATGACATGAGCTTCTCCTTCTACGGTTGTGCTTCCCATCTCTGTCATGAAGATATACAAAACACTGGCAAGGCAAAGACTGGTTTTTCTAATTCAAGGCAAACGTAATTTTTGATAGTAACATACAAAGGCCCGAAGAAGATTTGGGGAGATTGATTGAAATCTGAAAGTGGTGGATTCCATTTGCATGATTGCATATCTATTATTTTATGAAAAAAAGGCCAAAAATAAAGGTGTATTTGCACCTGGGCCAAGGAACGAATTCATGGAACTTAGAATTTATTTTTGAAAAGTAAAGCCAATACACTGATATTGCGTACTAATGCTTCTTGTTTGAAGGTCAATGGTGAACCACAACTGATTATCATTCAATTAATTTCATTGGTTGAAACTTTCTTGTCAATTGAAAATGTACATGAAACACAGGAATAAACCTCCGGGTAACTTTCATGAAATTTCTACACCCAATCTTTGAAGTCCAGGCCCAGGAAATTTAGAGACGTCCACCAAAAAAGGAAGTTCTTTATGCTTAGCTGATTGAGACCGTTAGGTAGATCAGAATCAGACAGGCTGGATTCTGGACATAACGTGCAAAGGTGATTAAGTTGGCAGTCTAAACCTAAAACGATAAAGGAAGGAACTTTCATATTTGTAAATGATACCTGTCACTTGGAACGAATTGGTGATAGGGGTGGTTGGATAAAATACCAGCCAAGAAATATGAAAGGCAGAAATCAACGAGCCGTCTATCCCAAGAGAAGTCGAAATGTCTAGCCTAAGGATGGCAAAATCCAAGGCCGACCCGGAGACTCAAACTAGGGGCCGGGTTTTTACAACCCGAGACTGTTTATAAATTTTAAAAATAATACCCGATTAAATTCATAAAGTCAACAAGTCATAGACATTTCAACAATTAATTGAGAATGGGTTTACAGTGCATAGTCATTCAACGAGTTAGTAATACATTGTCTACTCTATTATTAAACTAGATGGCACGTCGGCGCGTTGCACAGATTTATTTATTATATTATTTTTATTTTATTATCGAATTTTTATATTTTAAGAAATTGTAAACGATTATTGTTTCACAAAAAAATATGTCAAATATTGATTATAATAAAACATTTTGTTATTGTTTTTTATTATTATTATTATTATGTTATTGATAACAGAGGGAAAAAGGAAAAACTATATACATAGCGTTTTTCTAATTATTTTGTTGTCTTATCTGTAGTTCAACCTCTTTAACAGCAACTAAAAACTCACGTTGAGTTAAATCAGAGATAATATCCATGGTTGAACTCATTATCTCTAACAGACCATGGATAATATCTTTCAATTTGAGAATTTCTTTGATCTCATTTTGTGGTTGGAATGATGTTGCTTCATCTATAAATCATGCACACACATATTAGAATAGATATATGACATTAAATATAAGATATATGGTTCAATGTTTATTATCATGTGTTGTTGTTCATGATGCTTCTGCCATTGTGAATAAAAGTTTTTAAAGTAGAATAAAATTAGTACTGTGTGGTATTTCACATTGTATTTTGTTATGTTTATATAGGAACAACAAAATGCGAAAAGGCAGAATAGCAAGAGACTATTCATTCTCTGTACACTATATTTGGAATCGTGTTTTGTTGGTTTTTTTGTTTCTGGGTTGACAATGGTTCGTCTTTTGTCTGGTATTTGTTAATGATATGTCAGTGATATGATATAATTAAAGCAACTGTTCGTATTTTGTTCAATGTAATTGAAATATTTAATATTTTAACTTTTGGATTATCAGTAATATAGTTTCACCGAAGTCAACAACACATTTTATCAATCAGATTATATTTATGTTTATCTATCCAAGAAAATTTGTAATATATGTGTTGAAAATATGCGAATCATCATGACTTAATCAAATTAAGATGGGCATGTGAAAGATATTAACAATCAATATTGTTTGTCCAGTTGATATTTTTTTCATTTTAGTTATTCAATTTATTTGCAATTTTATTAACTAATAACCGTAGATTTAATATGAATGTGGTCTGATTATAAATAATTTTAAATCTATTTAGACTATTTTATTATTATTGCATATAATTTTTTTTTTGATACAATTACAATAGAAATATAATCTGTGTATTCTTATGTATAGCATATGGTGCAAAATCGTTTCACTAAACAGATAACTCGGTTCTACAAATAACATGGCAGTTGTAAATAATAGTAACAATCATTCGAATATAGGTCACAGAAACTCAAATCTTCAACCTCCAAGTCTTCCTATATAGGAGAAAATATTCTGTTGGGAAGTCGGCTCAATACCATGCAAGAAGATTATAGAAGCCAAAATAAATACGAATAGTTTTGAGAAAGTAATTGAATGGAATGATTCAGCTTGTCAAGAGGCTTTTAAAATGGCCAACCTTCGATATTGGTTAAAGATGTGTTAGGAAAAACACAGATGAACATGTAATTGTACAGAAACAGTATAAAATGCGAACAAAACATTGTTCGGCAATTGTTCGTAATAATATAACACACATTGTTTGGTAATGTGTGATTCTATACAATAACATATGTGCTGGGAAAAACATGTATAAACAATATTTTCACTCATATCATTGAATTACTCTAGAGTGAATATATATGTCTCATTTTTTTTACATATTGTATTTAACATACTATTTCATAATCTACAGAGCATCTCTTGCAACTGATATCACTTGGCCTTGTTATTCTGTCCCAGTGTACACGTATCCTCTTCTTTATTGCAAGTTCCTATATATCCTTCTTGAGGGAATATTTGTTGTTGGAGTCTGGTTTTGAAAGTCTCTCGGCAATTGCTCATCCTTTGAAAAGAATCTAGTTGATGTATCAATTTGAGAAGAAGTTGTATACCATTGTTATCATATATTTTTAGCAAAGCACTGCAAAAATATATGTGCTTGCATATTTTGTCTTTAGCATAGGTATACCTGTGTAAGTATTATGTTTGATAAATACTAAATGTGTTTCAGCAGTATAAAAGCATTTCATTTTTTGCGTTTGCCAAGATTGTAAAATTGAAAGTCCTTCTGTTGTAATTGCCGGTAGCTTGTGTCTTTGTTTGAAGATGTTTTTACGCAACACTGTTTTGCGTTGGATGTATATATAGAAATTTACATCTGCAATTGGATAGATAAGATAGATATGATTGTTTATAGCATATATAATAATTGATATTGTAGATGTTTAATACTTACGTCAAGGGATTGATGTAGATTTTTATTGCTAGTTTTAGTTGCTCTGACATGATTTGCTGCTATTTTCTTGTGGTAGTTGTAAGAAACTTGTTTTCTGTACTGCTGAATTTTGGTTAATCATGATAATCTTCCTTTTTTTTTTTTTTTTTTTTTGTTGTTGTAAATGCTCAATTCTTGTCAAACACTGTTTTATATTTTTTAGAAGATATTGAATAGTCGTTAATATTGTCAATTAATAAGTTGTTCACGAAGTGTTCTAATTTAGGGGAATGTGAATGGTTTGTTGACTTTTGGGATGAATTTTGTATTCTCCTATTTTGTTTGTCTTTAAAACTACACTAAGTTTATCATTTATATTTGTTTACTTAGTATTTTGGAATACAAATGCAATGTATCTGAATATTTCTTATTAAATAATAATAATTGTTGTTATTACGTGTATTTGTTTCATTGAACATATATATGATGCAATAAAACCGTGATTAAAATTAACAAAAATAGATGTAACTAATCTTGTATATTAAATGCATGATAATTTATAACATTCTGGAAAATATATTGTAATTATTATAAAATACACTAACGATTTATATATTCAGGAAATATTAGAAAATATTAAATTGAATTTCTAAAAAATATTATATTTGATATATATTGTCAGTGATTTTGTGATTTTGTGATGCGCTGTCGTATTTGTATTATATTTTTTGTTTAGCGAAACGTCGTCGTCTAATGGTTTGATAATTGTTTATATATAACTTGGAATTATGTCAACATGTATCAGTTATTAATTCACTTATCACTTGTTTTCTTGTCGTTGACAATTGCATATCTATAAGTCTTTAATTTTTGTTTTAAGTATTTGTTCTCAATTGAAATGTGTTCGTTTTTTTAATCTTATCTGAAAATATTAGATATTTCATCCATATTGTTAATTTTTTGGTGTTTATTTTATTTTATTTTTTTACGGTTTGCAGATATGAGGTGGCCTTTTCATGCCTTAATGTTTTTATGTACATGAATAGCCACTGTCCAATAAAAAAACAAAAAGCATAAAAGTAGAGGTAATACCCATACGGTGGATGGTCCAAACAAATTTTTTCCAATAATAACTACTTCACAAACCTTACAATGGAAATACGCACAGATGATCTTATTATTAGAAGCTACAGGTTGTATATTATTTCCACCATATAATTTTCTAACTCTTCCTACTTGTCTATCAACAGCAGAACTACAATATATAATGCATTGACCATTTCTAGGTAGATGGTAACCTTACCACTTCTGTGCTTGACCTTTATAATTTGTTCCCCAGCAACGATTAAGTCTATCTTTGACTGTAAGTGGAAAATCATAAGTCAGCCAATAAGGTGTCTACATAACAATGGAAATATCAGTTCAGTCAAGACATGATGTAGGAAGGTGTCATTTCATCCTTTGAGACATGGTACCAGACTCCAAGAATACAGGTGAAATATTCAAATATAAAAAGCATTATCTAGGCTCACCTCTGCAAGAAATTCCGTCGAGGTAACACCTGATTCTTCTCTCAATTCTCTTATGGCTGCATTTCTCAGATCCTCCCCCTCATCAGCACCACCCTGTACAAAATGGCACAATGAATTTGAAGCATTGACAAACCCCTTGCCACAGACGGTCATACCTCTCTCTTTAAGGTAAAAACAAAGTGTACATTCAAATCATCAAAATACTAAGATTGCCTCAATCTAACCCCAAAACATCAATACTTCTATCATGCATATGATAGGAACATTTGGTTATATCTCCATTCACAAAAACACAAACCCCTGTTAAAGTGGACGAATACAGCTAGCTCATAAGTAAAAATACAAATACTGTAACAATAACAATAAGAAACAAATAAACCCATTGTACTTACCCAGAAAAAAAATAAACCCATTGTAACAGGAACTATCGTTACAGAAGTTGCAAAACTGGACCTGCACAATCAGAGAAAAAAGAATATTAAAAAGCTTTGGATAAATGAAACAAAAAGCTTGGTTTTATATGTATGACAAATGAAGGGATGATATCGAACCTGAGACTGCCACCTCTCTAGCGCTGTTAACATTTTGATCCAAGCAAAGAGTTAGATAAAATAATGATGTGCAATTATCAATATTTCTATCATCAATTAAAGCTCTACTTATCAAACTAATAACTTAATCATACACATAATTCAAAATCAAAACCCCATAAATCTAACAAAGCTTCTACAAATTACAAAAACAATCAATAATAGAAAATCACAAAAATTGAAATATTACCTCATCGTTTCCGTGCATCTACTTATGAAACCAATTAATATTCAATACCTAAAATCACAAAAAACACAAACCCAAAAACAAATATCAGTCAAAATCACAAAAACACAACTGGGTTCTCTTAATTCTAACATGAATCAAAGACGGATCTGAAACCTTCTTGAATTTGAACATTTAAGACCTCGGGTCAAGGGATAATTACATTCACCTATCCTGAGATTTTGCAAAATTGAAAACGATGATAAAGAAGAAAAGACTGTTTTCAATTTACAGTCTCCTCCCATGCTTTTTTATCTCTCTGTGTAATTTAAAATCACAGTTACATGTTCATTCTTTCCAATTAAATTTAGATAACTCTTCAGGGTTCTAGCTGAAAGAAAAAAATTATTCAAATTGATAAGTTGGAACGGAGACAAAGAGTACCTAACATCCGTAGCCAAAGTCAAGCAGATCCTTAGCTGCACGAACATCAATAGTCCCAACTTCTTCAACTCCAGTGCTACAAATTATAAGGTAGAAAAGAAACAGCCCATGAAGAGCAAGGAACGCAGCCCAAGAAACACCCATATGATTAAGAAATTTGAAATCCCCACAAACATACATAAACAATTAAATATCATGTATAAATGCTAAATGTACAGAGACAAAAAATATTAAAATCAAGATTTGATAATGACCGGTCAAATGCGATAAGGAAAAGCAAGATTCGTGCACTAATACCTCCGGATTTTGTGGCGGGTCTATTTCATTAGAGAGCGGCGACCGCGAAACTGACTTAGAGTGGGCAAACCTGTGAGAATTTATCCGATCAGAGACCGATGTGGCGTCTCCATTGCCTGATGGATCTCATCAATGAATAAGATAATCTGCCCATTTGAAGAAGTAACCTCCTTCAACACAGCTTTCAACCTTTCCTCAAAATCTCCACGAAACTTGGCACCAGCAACCAATGGGCCCATATCCAAGGAGATCAACACATTTGGACACTGGAGCATTAACCCAAAAGAAGCGAAGAAAATAAAAATGCGGTTAAGAAAGATAAAGGCAAACCTTGGCAGCACTGAGAACTAGTTCTGTATCAAGATTTCACATTAACAGTTTGAGGGTTTGACGGTTTGTATTAGTTTATTAATGAGAATGCGAAGAGATTTCACGTGTTAACAGCTGAAAGGCTTGACAGTTTGTATTAGTGAGAATGTGAAGAGATTTCATCCACTAGCCAATCACATGCTGGCATATATTCATTAATAATTTATCAAATTAAAAGAGGAATGTGAACGATCTCAAATTGAAAGAGGAATGTGAAATATATGTATTGAATACATTAATTGAATGTATGTGAATAATTTCTATTATAGTAATCTCTTAATATTCATGGAAATCAGTAACACACACGTGAATCATTAGTAATTTATCAAATTAAAAGAGGAATGTGAAAGATTTATATTGAATACATTAATTGAATGCATGTGAATAATCCCTATTATAGCAAGCCCAATAAATAGCAAACACGTGGATCAATTAACGACATCCTACATGGCAATCATATATTAATCTTACGTGGCGTCATAAGAAGCAGTCTGCTTTAGGATTATATAGATGTATATATAGAGTCCCTATTATAGCAAGCCCAATAAACAACAAACACGTGGACTAATTAACGACATCCTACATGGCGATCATATATTAATCATACGTGGCGTCAGAAAAAGCAGTCTGCTTCAACATCATATAGATATATAGACTACGCATTATGGAATACAAACATGTCATTCTCTACTATCTACAAACTCATCCCAAAGTAACACATAATCATACTCATACATGCACTTCTCTTTGGCATTTCATCAAACAATTCATGTGCACAAATCAACACTAATTTTGCTACACTTCTATCTCTATTCTAGGCCGCCAAAAACTTGGAATAACATCCTCCATGATTAGCGCCAAATCTGTCCAAAAAACACACTCCAAAATTTCCACTTCAATTCTTCCAAATTTCAACCAAACATTCATCAAGTATAAAATACACCAACACAACTTCTCATGGATAGGTTCTAATCATCATTCAACACCAAATCCATCAACAATTCTACATATAACACATATATATGCATAAAGAAAATTCTCTACATAACATAACTTAAATCATACTTAGGGTAGGATTTACTTACCTTTGATATGAGCAATTCAACCCTTTAAGAATCTCCTTTGATCAAACTCTCTTCCTCTTAAATCCTATGAGCACAAACCATCAAAATTCAACACTTTAAAAATTAAAATCACTTAGTGCAAGGATCTTACCTAAAGATGCTTGGGATTGAAAATCCACTCAACAATACCCAAAATCTATGAATTTCTTTTGAAGAAGAAGTAAAGAAATTGAGAGGATTTGGAGGAGAAGGTGGTGTGAAAATGGGTTGAAGAGTGGCTAGGGTTTCACTCTTCAATCCTTGATATAACATAAAATTATATATTAGTTTCCCATTTTGCCCTTGCACTTTCTTTAAAATTCCATCTATGTCCCTTAATCAATTACTATAATGCCCTCATTTTTATTGCATTATCCATAAAATTCTATCTCCTTTCACTCCCCACAATTTCAACTAATTTTGAGTAAAAAGACCATTTTACCCTTAATGCAAGTTTAAGGCATTTTCTTCACATTTTCTTAAAATAACTTTAGCAAAAATCAACTAAAGGTATAAGAGTATAAATTAAATTATGTACCTCCACGTGGGCGTTACAATTCTACCCCTCTTATAAGAATTTCGTCCCTAAAATTCAAACAAATGACTCGGGATAGCGGTTTCGCATGTCTTGTTCTACCTCCCATGTTGCTTCTTCTACTTTATGATTCCTCTATAGGACTTTTACGAGTTGAATACTTTTGTTTCGGAGCTCTTTGATCTTTCTGTCTAAGATTTGTACTGGTTGCTCCTCATAAATGAGATTCTCTTCTAAATCCACTTCTTCTACTTTTAATATATGGGAGGGATCACTGACATATCTTCTGAGCATTGAAACATGAACGCATTGTGCACCCTGTCCATATTAGGTGGTAGCTCCAACTTATAAGCTACCTTTCCCACTCGCTGTAATACTTCAAATGGACCAATGTATCTCGGTGCTAATTTTCCCTTGCTACCGAAACACATCACCCGTTTGTAGGGGACAACTCTTAGAAATACTTTATCACCCACTTCGAATTCAACATCTTTCCTCTTCAAGTCTGCATAGCTTTTTTGCCTGTCTTGGGCTTGTTTCATTCTACTTCTGATTAACTTGACATCTTCTATCATTTTCTGAGTTAGTTCTGGCCCAAGAGTTATATTCAACTCATCTTTCTCGCCTATCTCATCCCAATGTAGTGGAGATCTACAACGTCTACCATACAAGGCCTCGTAAGGAGCCATCTTAATTGTAGACTGATAGTTATTATTATAAGCAAACTCCACCAAGGGTAACATCTCATACCAGGACATTCTGTAATCCATGCAACAAGCCCTCAACATATCCTCAAGTATCTGATTCGTTCTCTCTGTCTGGCCATCTGTTTGAGGATGTTAGGCGGTACTAAAAGCCAATATAGTACCTAAGTTCCTCTGTAAACTAGTCCAAAAAGTTGAGACAAATCTAGAAACTCTATCTAACACTATTGTCTTGGGTACTCTATGCAGTCTCACTACCTCTTTAATGCAAATCTGGGCCAATTGATTCGAAGTAGTGCTCCTTTTACTGGAAGAAAATGGGCTGACTTGGTCAATCTGTCTACTATCACCCATATAGCATTAAACCCTTTCTATACTCTAGGGAGACCTGTAATAAAATCCATTGATATACTTTCCCATTTCCATTCAGGAATGCTGAGTGGCTAAAGCAAACCTAATGGTCTTTGGTGTTTTGCTTTCACCTCTTGACAAATCAAACACTTAGTCACATAATCTCCAATATCTTTCTTCATAACTAGCCACCAATAGCTTTTCTTTATATCTTGATACATCTTGGTTCCTCCAGGATGAACAATGTATGGTGTATCATGAGCCTTTGTAGGAATCTTTCTTTTCAACTCAGCATCTTGGGGAATGCATATACGATTCCGGAAATGGAGGACACCATCTAACAATTGGAATTCTGATATCTTACCCTCAATTACCTGCTGACTCCTTTTCTAACGCCACTCATCAGCAACTTGTTTTTCTTTAATCTCTTCCAGCAAAGTGGGCTGAAGGTCTAACCTGGCAAGCCTTCCCGGTATCACTTCTATCTAGTCCTTGATCAACTCGCCCAACAACTCTTTCTTTCTTGTAAGTTGAGACAAGTAAGCCTTTCTACTCAAAGCGTTAGCTACTACATCGGCTTTTCCAAGTTGATACTTAATTTCACAATTATAGTCCTTTACTAGCTCTAACCATCTCCTCTGCCTCATATTCATCTCTCTTTGGGTGAAGAAATACTTCAAGCTTTTATGATATGTATAAATGTTACTCTTTGCTCCATACAAATAATGCCTCTATATTTTCAGTGCAAAAACTACAGCAGCCAACTCTAGATCATGTGTAGGGTATCTCGTCTCATACTCTTTTAAATGATGAGAAGCATATGCTATTACTCTACCCAACTGCATCAGTACTGCACCAAGTCCCTGAAATGAGGCATCTGTGTAAATGTCATAATCTACACCCTCATGTGGCAACATAAGAATAGGAGCTGTGGTCAATCTTCTTTTTAGCTCTTGAAAACTTTCTTCACAGGCATTCGACCAAATGAAAGGAGTTCTCTATTTGGTGAGAGTTGTAAGCAATTTAGCCAACTGAGCAAACCTTGCTACAAACCGCCTATAATAGCCTGTCAGCCCCAAGAAACTTCTAACTTCCTTTACTGTCTTTGGTTGTTGCCATTCTAGAATTACTTTTACCTTACTTGGATCCACTAATACACCCTCCTTTGAGATGGTATGGCCTAGAAAGATAACTTGATCAAGCCAAAACTCACACTTTGAAAATTTGGTGAACAGCTTTTTATCTCGCAATTGCTGTAGCAAAAATCTTAAGTGTTCTTCATGTTCCTTTTCTGTCTTAGAATAAACTAGGATATCATCAATAAACACCACTATGAACCGATCAAGACAATCGTGAAACGCCCGATTCATTAAATCCATAAAGATTGCTGGGGCATTGGTTAACCCAAAAGGCATCACCACAAACTCATAATGCCCATATTTGGTCCGAAAAGCAGTCTTAGCAATATCCTGCTCTGCAACCCCTACTTGGTGATAACCCGACCTCAAATCAATCTTTGAAAACACTGTTGTTCCTTTCAGCTGATCAAAAAAATCATCTATGCAAGGTAATGGGTATTTATTCCTCACTGTCACTTTATTTAACTCTCTGTAATCTATACACATCCGTAGAGATCCATCTTTCTTTTTCACAAAAAAAATTGGAGCACCATAGGGAGAATGGCTAGGTCGAATAAAACCCTTGTCTAAGAGTTCCTAAAGCTGGTTTTTCAATTCCTAAAGCTCAGTTGGGGCCATCCGGTAAGGGGCTTTAGAAATTGGTGCGGTCCTTGGTGCCAGTTCAATACTGAATTCTACTTCTCTTTCCGGAGGTAAACTTGACAAATCTTCCGGAAATACATCTAAAAACTCATGAACTACTGGCACATTCTGAATCTCTTGTTGTGGGACATCACTACTGTGCACTACATGAGCAATATACCCCGAGCACGATTTTCTTAGCACCTTTCTAGCCTTTACAGTGCTGATTAACATACTAAGCTGGTGACCCTGCCAAAATTAAACTTATCTCCATCATCAAGATTAAATCTTGCTTTCTTTTTTCGACAATCAATCTCTACTCCAAATCTCCCCAGGAAATCCATGCCTAAAATAATATCAAAATTAGGCATATCAAACACAATCAAATCCACTGGCAACTCCCTTCCACGGATCACTACAAACTCCCCTAGAAGCAACTCTTGAGTTACTACACTTACACCTTCTGGTAACTCTATCTTAATGGGACAATCCACTCTAATAGGTTTTAAACCTAATCTCTCAAAAATCCCATATGTAATGAA